CGGCGCCGCGGAGGGCGGCAAACCCCGACGACGACGCGCGCGCGCGAGCACCGAGTCACCGGCTGGCAAAAGCCTCAGGCCCTGTAGGGGCGGGGCGCCGGTGACCGACGGAGACGCCTCGGAGCAGCCCGCGCCGCACGCAGCCCGGCCCCTCTGCAGACGCCGGCGGCGCGCTGGGCCTCTCCTGGGGGCCCCCGGGCTTCGGGAACGGCAGGACACTGACAGGCGCCCGGGATGGGCCCCGCAGCTACCGCCCCGCCTAGCCCCGACCTCTGGCCTGCCCGTGCAGCCAGTGGGCCTGGGTGCTGCCCATGGGCCACCGCCGCGACGCTGATGCCGGCTGGAAGTGGGGACGTCTGGCTCTGGGCGGCCACAGACGGCCATGACAGGACTGGCGCGCCTCGATACCGCCCTAGAGGAACGCGCCCAAGGTGGCAAATATCGAGTCAGAAACACGTGGCCACTCCAGAAGGCAAAGGCGTGACCCCTGGCCTCTGCGTGCAGGACACTGACACGTGGCTCAGCCGGAGGGGCCACACTTGGTGCAGGGAGAAGCGCACTCCCCACTGGCCGCGGACCGGTGAGGAGGCCGAGGCCATCCTGACTCGGGGAGTCGCATGGCCTGGACAGCAGCGCGGACCCAGGATGGAAGGCCAGCTCATTCCTAACAGCACCGCACAGCTTCACGAGAGCAGAGGCCACCCATGGCGCCAGCCCACTGCCGCCAGCCCACCAGGCCACGGGGGCAAGTCCTGTCTTTACAAAACTGGCAGTTTCCAAAACAGCTAGCCACCGTGCACGCAGGGCCCAGCAGTGCCGTCCCCAGATACTCAGCCAAGAGGGGACACACACTGGGGACTGCGCTGTCCCCCACTCCGTCCCTCAACCCCAAGGGGGAGGGGCGGCCGCGGAGGGACTCCCCAACCCCAGGCCAGTCAGCAGGGCTCAGGGCCACGGGCCACACTGCGGCAGGTGGCCAAGGGGCACAGCTGGCCGAGGTGAGGACGCCCTTGGTCCAACCAGTCAGACTTCTGTGCTCCGCATCTGGTGGCTCAGGGACCGCAAACTCCTCCCGTCATCTCTGAGCGGTGGGCGCCTGGCCTGGGGCCAGCGGCCCTGTGCCGGGCCTGCGGCTCCTGCCTTCAGTGCCAGGTTC